TTTAAATTACGTTATCCTTTTGTAGCGTGGATACATTTCTACGAATGAATAGTTATTAAATATAAGAATGTGCAGCCATATAAAAGTGCGGACAGAATTACGGCGAGTTCGGATGGGGACGTACAGACAGGATGGCATTTTTGACTATTACACTTTTTAATTAAATTAATCACCGTTTTGTGCGCGGCTGAATTAAATTATAGTATGATAGCGTATAACGCTGAAACGCAAGAATCTACTTTAATTTCATCGTGACCCCGTTTTTGCATATTCGGTTTTTGAAATTCGTAAAATTCCGCATTAACTAATTGTCAGAGTATTGCTCGATTCGCAATTAAATCGTAATTATAATTATTGCGAATAAGATAAGAGTCATTCATTGCATAGCATCCATGGTATTTAATTGCAGAATAACTTACAAGTTATGTATTTCCGAAATTATTACATTGGAATGATATAAATGTCTTCTTATAAGACGGAACGTTGCGCAACGTAATTACTCAAGAAGAGAAATCGCTTTCCTTTAGCAAAGAATTTATTTGTAACTTGAATAAGCAAAATCTCTAATCTGACGAGAGTCGGATTCTATATTTAATTACAGTTAACAAATCACTTTTGTAATTCATACGCAAGTTACATCATAGACGATGATGCGAGTACGAAATTATTTTTATTTTATAAATAATAATTATATCTCTTGTTAAAATTATAAAATGGACTCGTAAACGTACAGATAAAAATATTTTTTGTTTATTTTTCGTTAAATATATAATTTGCAAAGCTTATTTTGGTAATAAAAAACGATCAGTGATAATGCAAAATGCGCTTGGCACAAAGAATCTTGAAGTATCTGTTTTTGATGTCGACATTAAAGCAATCCCGGAACAAAGTTGCTTCCGTTAATGGAGAAATCGAAATTGCAATCGACACAGGAAAACGAGATTTAATTCCGAACTGTTTCTTGGGCGCTGATCTTTTTCGAGCGTTTTCACAAGAACGCGCTCATTTGCCGACGATGCCGAAGAGCGAATGCAATAATAGCGTTAAATAGAGAAGTATTATCTACGCGACTTTGAATCCTTCTTTGCAAAGGTTCTGCTTTGCTGTGCTTAATATGAAACTAAATAATGGGACAATAATTATAATTAAGATAATTAAAGATTTTGACAAATCAAATTTCGACTTCCAGATTAATATTCCTCTCAAGCATAAGGGTAATGTGTGAAAAGTTTTATTTAAACTTTAATTACTAAAACATTTATCGCTAAAAACTGTAACTAGCAATAAGGGTTGCCCGAGGTCAACTTTTCTGGAATTAAGCAAAAGCTTAATTAAAATTTATTTAAAAATACATTTATGTTGTTTCCATGTTACTTTATTATTAACACAAAGAACTGTGGAAAAAGCTTATTAAAGCTTATTAAAAATATTCCTTTTAAATGTCATTATCGTAGCTATTCTGATATAATAGACCTAACAAAAGATTTGTACCGCGTGAGACAATGTTTCAATAATTAATTGCCGAATTAATTCGATATAATGTATTGTTTGTCATCGATTTATTTAATGGAGTGACACATTGAGCGGACGTGTCGTCGGAGTAAATAGTTCTCCAATGCCCTCCATCGTTTGCGCGATAAATTCGCCACTATGTTGCGATTGACAAGTGAGTGAGAACATTTATTTCCGGCTAACGGAGCATCGAAGTGCGTATTGTTCGCGGTCACAATGGAAGATACTAATAATCGTTGGTCGTTTAGTTACAATCGCGCGAACTGAATCTATCTGCAGCATCACATTCGACATATCGGTAATATCATATTTAGAATAGGCATATTTATGGCAAGTATATTAAGATTATATCGATCAAAAAATATTGATATTCAAAAATATTAAATAGTGTGTACGTTTTCCGTGAATGAATATATTGTTTCCATGTATGTACAAGAGATTTTACATATCAAGTAAACATCCATTAGCTTGACTCCATAAACGTTACAAAAATGTTTTGATTGCATTGTAGAACTGATATTTTTACGATTAATCTATTTTTATGATGTTATAACCAAACCTTTTTTCATGATTCGTACCACGGGATCACGGAAATAAAACATGAAATAATATTTCCACTTGTCTGTATACGTAAAAATCAGTACGTTACGTTTAACGAGAACAAGTGCCCCAAATTACGGACAGTTTTCGACAGGCAATTGCCATCTAATATCTGATAGCACACTCACACACATATATATATATATATATATATATATCCCCGCCTCTAGAGAACATTGAAAATAATAAATTCACTGAATCGAAATCACTGAAATAAATGTTATAGGAATAGTATTCTCTCGTTGTGTACGAATTGCATTAATTGGTTTTTGCATGACAATAATTGTTTAAATTGTCAGTTATTTGCAATATTAATAACATTGGACAATAATTGAAAGGAAAAATAGATTTAAAATTAATAATACGCCATTTTCATAAGTTTGATAACAAACAAAAACATTTGCATATTTTTTTTTGACAAGGCTTTAATAAATTGCAAAAAAATATGAAAATATTTTTGTCATGTACGAAAGAAGTTGTTAGTATTTTTATATATACACATACTGCATGCTAGTTTTGCTAAATGTTGTGATTTACAATCTTAACAACTGTAATAATTACAATTCTGATGCAAAAATTGCTAAAATTTTAATTATCAAGTTCATTGCTTATTTGCGATTTGTTCGGCTCGCACGTTACTTCTACATTTTGCGCGGCTTTATTTTTCCATTGAGTCCATTCGAAACGATTGAAATAAAATACGTGGTGAAACATCGTTGGAATCACGCGCGGCAATATCAGGAACATTATTTGCTGTTAGATTAATATCCCGTCGGCGGCATCGCGCCGTCGTTTCGCCAGTGCCTTGTCCTGGTAGTCTGCCAAAAGCGCGTAGTATTGTACGTCCCGGAACCGGAAACACCCACCCGTATAACCGCCGGGGCGTACGTCCAAATATCACCGGGAGAGAGTGCGCCCTTGGAATTGCGCAGCCTCGAGACCGGGTACTCTCGCGAGATCCGCCGGGCTGTGAGTGAGCCGCGCCCGTTGCAAAACTTTGCTCGAATAAATTAATTAACCCGATGTTACAGGCAGGACAGAAGAGATGGGGACAACACGTTTTGCGGGACTGAAGGACGATTAAGTCGTAGGGACGACCCTCGTGGGGTCGAGCATCCCGGATTCGTGGCTTGGCACTAACAAATAAGAGACTAAATCTCGGCAAACGGTCATGCTATTCCACAACACTGTTTAATGCTAAATCCTATGCTCGAAATAATGTATGAACGTTTAATAGAAATTTTCATTATGCTGGCGGGGTAAATATTTAAGCGAGGAGTGATAAAAATTTTATGGTATATCTACCTTCCTCGCTGTAAATTAGAAAATTATATTATTACGGAATTTGCATGTGTCAAATAATGATGCACATTTATTGAAATAATTTACACATGAATCTTGTATCACTAATTGTATCATGCAATGTTTAGCTTAAAAGTAATCAGATTTTCGCTTTACGACTTCAATTTTATTAAATGTACCGAATAAATTTATCTCGCGAATACCGTTGGGTCGATTTACATCATATCGCGAATGTCAAAACGTCTTTTTCCAGCTTTTTCTGCTTGAATTAAAACGTGAAAAGTATAAAAGGTCGTCGAATGATTACGTCTCGTCAACGCGTCTTGCCACAGGGTTTCATATCCTGAATCCCATGCTAGCTGATGTGAAATGAGCTTTCTAAAAGCCGTAGATAATCCTGACTAAAAGACTACAAAGTTCTCGAGACGAAGTACTCTTAACGTTTATCGTAAGATCATGAACTGCTCGCCGTGTTCTAAAGAGACTACCATTTGCACTCCGAAGATAATCATGCCTTCTACGATGTCTCTTCATGGAGTATCTTAAGAATCGAATTACAGTCCTTTGCACAAAAGTTTCATTTCTACATCAAGTGCAAATTAAAATAGCAATTCAAATAACAAAGCTATATTAATATTTAATTGTAGAACATTATATTTTATCTAAACATTATTCTCTTATCTCTTATTCCTTCAGACATTTTTACGAATAGCAAGCCGTAATTGATACAAATTATAATCATAGTAATATTTAATACTACAATGTAAAGTCATTTAAGAAGCAAGAAGGATAGAATTACGCGACAAGACAAAAACAGCCTATGAAACTGATTTTGTTCACAATTAGAAGAAGCAAATTGTTGCTCCAAGATTATGAGTTCTGAGAAGCCTTGTTCGCCGAGCCCGTTAAACTAGAAGGGGAGGGGGGAAGCCGTAAAACTTCCCTCGAATAAATTAATTAACCTGGAAAATCAGGGGCAAGTAAAGTGGAAGCTTGAAGGGCAATTAAGACGACGCGACGTATCGTTTTCGCTACAATATTGGATACACTTCCGTGGTACAAGACGAAGGCATGCGCGAATAGTTTTATTCAATTATCAGAAAACGTTACTAGATGTAACGGTAAAAATGTTAACCAAATAGCCTATTATTTCGTGACTACATACTTAATCTCTTTCACGTGTCGGTAATAATTTTAACGTTTAACAAACTCCCCTTTAAAATTTTCCCTTTGTAGCTCATGTTGATATCATTCTCAGTGCCTCTTAACTCTTAATTTGAAATGTCAGAAGCACTGTAAGTTATCTTCACAATTCACAATCTAAATTTATCTTGTCCCATTTTGCATGCGTTATTTTGCGCGATTTAACTTTCCCAGTTCGCAGTTTACGTGAAGGTGAGAACCTACAAAACGAGTAGTGGAAACTTGCGCGGGAGCGGGGTGTAGACGGGCGGCGGAGCAATATGCGCGGAAGGATGCAACCCGTAGACGCGTCGGAAATGGACCAAATCCGGGAATTGGATAGCGTTTCGTTAAATCGTAGAACGGACGGTATTGAATTAGATTTCGGCAAAGCAAAAACTCACCTCGCATTTCGTCTCGTCTTCGTCCCATCGAAAGCGGCAGTTCACCCTTCCATTGCACTCCAATTCCGCGGCGATGCACGTCGCATCCTCACAATCGTATTCATCCACATTGCAGGCTGGAAAATAGAAAAAAAACCCCGTGTTGCATACATTGAATTGCTCTTATCGAATAACTGAAAAAATATATAATTGTATTATATGAGATACGCCAAGTTTTCTACATGTTCTCTTTTACGGATTCTTCGGCCAATCAATTCTACGTTGATTGTTATAAGTCTCTTAATTATATATAAAATTAATTTCTGCTATGATAGATAGGTATAATTGTCAAGTTTCCGTCATATATATTTAATACATGTACGTATATAAAATTCCCAGCAAATTAATAGCGAGCTTTTCTAACCCGAGACATGCTTCCGTGAAATAACCGTCGACCCTTAATTCGCATGGGAAAATTGTAACGTAAAGTCTTATCGTTCGACGGTGGTCTGGATAAGGGAATTGCTGAACAGGATGTAGTCACCGGCAAGATATTAGTTCCGCGTTGGCGGCAGGTGCGGAAAGCCGGAAATTCTTCTCGTGCCATACTGGAACCCGTGTGAATTCCGCACACGTAACTGCGATTCTGCGGGCCACCTCATTTAACATTCAGACAAGTACGCGACCATTAATTTGAAATTTGATTCCTTTACCCAACGATTATCCACGACGCTTCGTCGGACGTAAGGTGCTTATTGAATGAGGCGCGCACATAATTATAAGCTGAAAACGCGAAAATGTGAGTCTTTTTTCTAATCCAATTCAGCTTGCACTTTCAGAAAATCGCCGACCGTTACACATAAAGCACATATTTTAAAAGCAAGAACTTATTTTAAAGGCGCAAAATTTTATTAAAATGTATATAACTTATCGACTTTTACTCGCATTTCATCTAACCGTATATTGCAGAATTTTACACCGTTTTTAAAATGGGCATTTGTTGTTACCGATATAGAGAAACAAAATAATCCTTTTTTTTAAAACATTGTTTAGCCATTTCGCAATTTGCCGGGATTAACCATACAGTTTGCTAACTCAACACAAAAATTATAGTGACAACTGTGTACTCGCTGGCTGTGTAATCCGCGTGGTCGTTAAATCAAAATACGTACAATAAGCGGAACACACACATATTGGAAAAATTTTGTGAAATTGTAGCAGATGTTTTTTGAGTACTATGTAGACAATTTCCACGTTGTTATCACGGCCGCAATAATAGTTAGAATATACAGTTTGCACTGCCACAAACTACTATTGTAATACTGTTAAAAATGATCAAAGATATTGTTTATATGTGTTTCATAAATTTCGATCTGACTTTTTAATATAAATTATTGAAAAATTTAGCGTTTTTGTTCCGATAAAATTGTTTTTTTTTTTGTCATTTATATTCCTTTATGGTGTAAAAAATTTTAAATTTAAAATTTAAAAAAAAAAGAAAAGAATAATTGCAGCGTATTATATTTTTTGTAAATATCTAATAATTAATTAATTAATTTTATCTCTATTTTATATATAGAGTTATTTAGACTCATGTACCTATTACTTATTATGCAATAAGTAAATTAATAATTAATTAAACGACGTTAATTATAAATAACTATGAACAATAACATAAATTTATGCTCTATTAATTTGCTTGATATATTAATGAATTCTGCATCCGATTTCCTACGTGCTGCTTGTTTTGTCGCATTATCAGCTAAGATTTAAATTCCCTTTATCGCATAAATCTTACTTTGAAACTTTATTATGCCAGATTAACAATTATTATTATCATAATCCGTTTAATAACGTTACTCGCGACTGTTATAAAAGCGCACGATAAATGTGTTAAACTCACGGTGTTATGAATTGATCGTTACGCTGTTTCGCGCTATAATTTTGCGGCGTTTTAATCGTACTTTAATATTGAGTAATAAATTTTAATAGCATTCTAATCTTTACACTGAATTGGAAGTATGACTTTTGACGACGAGTCGATCACATGTTCTCCGCATTGTGAGAACGCATTGAACCGGAAATATATGTATTCATTATAGTACTCAGAAAGACTCACATTTCTCGCCGCTCTCCTTGTCCCTGACGGCGGTCATCACCGCTTCGAAGGAACTGTTCATAGCTTTCGGTTCCGCGTAGAATCTCAAGTGAGCGATACTGGTTTGAATGACGACGGTGTCGGCAATGCTGCCGCAGAAAATCCTTTCTCTCGAGGGTATGTCCGTGTGTTCCCTGAATATGTCCACGAAGTTCGCCTCACATTCATTCGGCCGCTGTAGTTTGAAATCTTGGAACGTCAGCTGGATCTGGAAATTGTATGCGTTTCCCAAGTTCACACACATAGCGCTGGTTTATATATGAGCCGTCGCGACAGAAGAACAGACTAATAATTCAAAGAATCTCTCGCGACGTAATTAGATGACACAATCTCCCGAGGCTACGTCGTCCATGTTACAATTACGGAATCGCGCGTATTTTCACGCCAGACGGGTTGCAAGATGCCGTGAATTGTTTTTGAGGATGCATCAAAGACATCACCCACGAGAACACGAAGTACCGACATACGAAGAATTCTTAAGCGTGCGTCACATAGTGGGCTCAAATGCGAAATTTCTCGGAAATGTCGTAGCTCTTGAAAAGTATGCGTGAAAATGCAGTTTTCCGCCACTTCGGATTTTGTCGTGCCGTAGAATGGATAACTTTATAAATAGTTTTGATAGAAACTTGAGAAATATTAACTTTATTAACAATTTTAATAACAAAAGTTTCAGAAGCCAAAAGATTTTTTGACGCTGAAGCAGATGCTGTTATCAGCTGCGATGTAAATTTTGCAACGGATGTATCGTAGACAAAGTATTCGCGTAAAACCGCTCTGTTATATCTGCACCACGGCAGCAAAGAGCTATTGTAAATCATTCAGAAACACATTACTTTGAGCGGAACGGCGTTTGAAATTACGTTGCATGCCAGAACAGACATTCGCATCGATTGAATACCGCAGTAAAATGTATATGGATCGAATAAGGATTGCAGTATTATGTAACGATACAGAAATATTAGAAAAAACGTTTTAGACTCTAACCCGTTGATATTAAATTTTCGACGGTACAATATGTGAATACTACACAAATTTAGATTGATGACCGGGCTAGGTTAAATGAAGAAATGATTTACCTTCCATCCTTCTTTCACACGAATGATCCACATGCAGTCTAACGCGAGTCCCTCTTTCTCGGCCTGGATTCTCCTGTCTTTGACGTCGTTGTTCTGAATTATCGCCTGCGTACCCGTCACGTTAACTAAGCATGGTTCTGGCTCCGGTGGCACGCCCGCTGTGAATCACACCTATTACAGTTCTACACTTTCCCTAAGCTCGCCAATGCTCATATTCATTTATTTATTATCGTGTTAGTATTATAATGTTTGGATTCAACATCAAAAATTATTCAAAATTTAATTTTGACTAAAAACTTTAATTTAAATTTAATTTTAATTTAAATAGCAGTTATAAAAACAGTATGAAACAATTTAGAAATCTATTGCTCTTTGCAAAACATTTTTTGCCGAAATAAACTACTTAGATGGTTTCGACGCGCTACTCATTTATAAATAATAAATAAGAAGCTACGTTATATACTATGTACAGTACATTGCATACGCTAATCCCCAGACTGCTGTTTACCGCGCGTATGTCCAAGAAGTAGTTAAAAATAGTTATGGCGCGGCAGCCTTCCCTCAATCACGATTAAACATAATTGACATCTCCGTAGAGCAAAATCATAGCAACGTGAGATCAAACTCATTGAAAAGTTGAAAACTTTGTCATTTTGACAAAAATATACGCGAGACAATTTATTTGCAAATAATATTAAATAATAACAATATATTTATTAAACATAGATATTAAACAATAAAAATATGTCGAATTAATGGAAAATAGATTACGCAGTGTCGAAAATGAAAATTAATGGTAAAAATAAAACTTCTGAAGATAGTGTGACATTGAAGAATAGTAAACTGTCATGAGATGTAAGAGGCATTGGATATATCGTGCTCTATTATCAAACTAATCCATTCAGCACAAATGCAGCATTGCGTTTTTATTTCTCAGTTTATTCTCATGGGAAATAAGTTCTTATCTTTAAATCGCTTATTACTTTCTTTTTTTACAATTTTTGTAATATTTAAAAATATATAAAACACGAGAAAATGCCTTGTCAAATTTTAATATGTATGTTAATTCTGCTTTTCTTAACTTTATTTAAAAACAGATATTTATTAACAAAAACGTACTGAATGAAATATTAAAGGAAACGTCCACGCTGCCACATGTTTCAATATTGAGCATCAATATTGGAACTCTGTAGCGAATGAGTTAATTAACTACGCGACGAAGTAAAAATTTTAGTGTTTGATCGCGCGCGCTGGCCGCACCCATCTCCTGCCGTGTATATCGATCTAAGGACGAAGCTTGGTTAAAACTAGACTCGCTGCGGGTATTCCGTATATTCATAGCTCTACCTTCGTTCTCCTGCCGGCTGAGTATGAATTAATTTTGGTCCCAGTCGCGGTTGTACGACACTCACTGCCGCGGGCCATCTATTTCCGAAGTGTCTCGTAATTTTCCGTGCAAGAACAGGCGACGTGGAGCCTCGAATATTCGCAATCAGCGAATCGTTAATTATTATCAATATCCACATTACTGACTGTTATCACGTTCGTTACACTGTCTCTATTTTCTCTGGGCCTCTATCTCGTTACAGCGCGATTCGCCGAGTGTTCTAGTTCAATATTGGTTAAACAATTTACTACGTATACGTTAATATGACAATTTGCACATTGACATTAAATAGAGATTTCCGTTTTAGATTTGGTTGCGCTACCTTTACTCATGCCATAAGTATTATCTTTAGAATTCATTTAAATAGAAATTTATTTTTTCCTCGTCACTTCTAGAATTTCAATTATACGCTTTTGTGAAACACGGACCGGTATGCACAAAAGATCAGTTAAGCTTTCGTTCCGCGTTGATTATGCCGTTATTACGTGTCATTAACGCAGGGTATTCCGGATAAATTAGTTTCAATCGCCATTGTGTCGGATCAATTATCTCAGCAACAAGTTCTCACCGCGTACGCGAGAATCATGCGAACAAGCGTGAGGAAGGACTAGAGCGAAATCTCAAGTTCGTTATCGATCAGTTTAGTAATCCGCAGTTCCACGCTCAAAAGATATACGAGTCCCACGCCCGAGAAGTGAATGGCTAGCAGTAGATCAGAGTTAAACAGAACTTACGACTGAGACAAATTCTTGGCGCAAGCAGAAAAAGGAGGCGACTCTGGATATTGATAAAATTTAAAACCTTGTTATTTAGAAAAACCTCGCAAGAGAGAGAATTTTCTCAAAAATACTTGTCGATGTTTTTAATACTATGGAATAAATAAAAAATAATTAGCTTGTAACGTAAATTGGTGACTAAAATAAAAAAGCGCTTTAAAAAAATGCTTGGTAAAATAATGTCTTTTTAAACAACGTCGCGGCATTCTATTATCTGTTTGCTTGTTTATGCACCAATTGACTTACAAGTTATTAGCCGTTGTTAAAAATTGAATTTTAGTCAAAGTTAATCGAAGAAAGTTTGATAAGGAGAGTCCCTCGTGATATAAAAAAAACTTTATGACTCTGAGACTTACGATAAGTCGGTCTCGGTATCATGTTCCACACAGCCTTGAAGCCCTTGCCCTCGATATTCTCGTCGCTGTGGAATCGCAGCCAGAGGTACCGTGTCTTCGATGTGATCTCGGGGGGAAAATTCGTGCCACAGAAGTTGCCGAGGAGATTAGAGTAACCGTGCTGGCCGTCACGTACCTCAAGGAAATCGAAACGGCAATCCGGGCTGTCTTCGAGCTTAAACTCGTCTCGAAAGTCGAGTTTCAACAGCATACCTTTGTCAGCTGAAATGAGAGGGAGAAACCACATGACCGTTAGCAAGTACACCATAAAGAGGGAAGGATGTGTAGAAGCAGGGTGAGATGTATTTGATGGTCGTGTTCATGGAAGTCCTAGCATGAAGATAGAGCACGATAGAGGTGCGGAACAGTTAGGCTAGCAAATGCAAGCTTCGCGCTCGTCGGTATGGTATTGTCTAGTGGAGATTTTTCGCACAAGCGCTTGTTAACGCTTTGATGCATAAAATCTTATCAGCGTTACTATGACAATGCGAACATCACTATCTTCTGCATTACAAGCAGATAAAAACAAAATAAGCGTCTATTATCACTGAATGTACGATTGATAGAAGTAAAACGGTGGCAATTATTTAAATTGACAGAGAAAAATTTGGTTTCTTAATGAGCTGATAAAATTAATGAATATTCTATCAGAAATAACATGCCTCTTTAAAATAGCAGTGATGAAATGCGACGACAAATCCATTTCACTGACGATATAAAATGACAATAATTGTTAATGAATATTTACTTAAATAACCGCGATTTTAGTTAATCAATAACCGCGATTCATGTTTAAATGCGATGATATTTTGCAACTCAACGAGTTAATAATTATACATACAATCATACATACAATCCGATATTATACTATATCCGATATATATGTAAAATCGGCCGTATACTCAGGTATCAAACCATCATGCATATGTGATTCATAATATTATTATGCGAAATGATTAATGCAAATGACACGTTTGAATTATACAATCAGTTCACATATCTTATTTCGGCTTTTCTCCGAAAATATGCACGGAATAGTAATAATGGAGCGCATTTTTGTCTCTACAAATTTTGCAACGCGAACGTCTTTTATGGTCGGACGAGTTACTCGACAAATATTCCAATGTCGTTAGCCCCGGAAGTCAGTCTGGCTCTGAGCCAAATTGTTCGTCAGAAGCTGCGACACGAAGCTGCGTTGTTTTCTCGCTGGTTACCACGTTAGAGCTACCGTAGGTAGAGCTTACAAAGCATTTTTCCATGTAATATAATACTTGTGTCAGGAGAAACAGCTGTAACATAGTTTCAGAAGCACCGTAATGACGAAAAATGAACCTGATATTTGGAAGGCGGTATATTCATTCTTCTGCATTAAATAGATAATAATCATTTCGCTGATTATATATTTTTAACGTCCTCCTTATTTTAGGCACTTATCTTCTCAGCATTTATTACAGACGGAAATAATCAGAAATAATGTTAACGTTGTCTGTTATCGCAAACGTGCGTCAGGACAAAGAGACATAGTTCTCGGAAAGTCGGGGGCGAAACGTGTCGCCATCGTTTCCAGTAAATTCTTACCTACCGCGATGCGATCTGTAATGAGGCCGTAGAGATGCAAATGCGACTTCACTTTCTCCGCACGTACGAAACTTATCCGCAAATTATTCAGGCGAGACCGATCGTTAGGATACACTCTATCTTCCGGCTCTAGTCAGATATCTACGTATACCCGTGTGTTTGCGTGTGCAATCGAGCGTGTGTGTACGCGTCGAATATGGACCACCAGACCACTTGACTATGCGCATTTAGACATCACCCTGGGCAACCACAAGATCATCCTATTATCCACGTAACACACCCTTATACGTGTCTACACGTTATTGGAGCCGCGATTGCTAGATATCCGTTGCTAGATATCCGTATGCAGCGAGAATGAATTTTCTACTTTATTTCAAATTTAAATCTCTCTAATATCGTTAATTATCAATATTCTTACTATGATAAAAAATTTGCGAATAGAATCTAATGTGATTGCAATCGAATGTTGTGCGTGGCCGATGTTTTTCTGACGTAATCGTCTCGCAGACAACGCACACGCGATAAAGGAAACATTGACTCTTGACCATATAGCAATTGTCGATATATTTATCCTTGGACATAAATAGTTCTCAATACACTCCCAAAAATAATCCGACTATTTTAGATAGCGAGATCGCGCCAAGAACGCCGTACGCGGTTACGGAGGCTTTTTGCCGGAATACATAAGGTAAAATTAGTAGTATTTTTAAATACTTTTCAAGAATTTTATCCATCGAATATTTGCGGAAGCGATTTTGGAATCGGAATGTTATTTGATGACGACTGAGTTTGCTAGAAGGTCGCGCGTCTAGAAATTGTTGCACGAGCAAGCTGTCTTTGCCAAGCGTTTATGAATAACTGTTGTTGGAATATACTTTGAAAGAGTTCTCGGAAAAAGATTGCAAATGCGAAATTCATCAAATATAAAAGACCTGTGAAATATAAAATATACATGGAGCAAATAAAGCTCATTATGATTATATGCTTGACTAGCGGAAAATATTTACAATTCTTTCTATTCTGAAGGAAGAAAAATAGTAGCTGCATAATAAAATGTCGAGATGATGTAAAAATAAAGTGAGAATAAAAATGAGAATAATGAAGTTGTTATCTGATATAATATCTAATTCATGAAATATCTTATTAAATAAATATTTTTCCTTTGTAAAACTTTTGAGAGATTGCTTTAAAAGACTTTTTAAGACTTGTTAAAAATATAGCGTTTGAATATTTCTTTCTTCGAACTTTTTTATTTGCGCTTATTTGACGTGTAAGCTTATAAAAGCTTATAAAGGCTTTAGCTATTGACAAACATTAAAGTCGTCAACACAGATCCGTTTGATGATTCTGGCCTTTACATTGTATGCATTTGAAAGCGCGTAATTGCTGCGTTGAAGCTTTTCTATGAATGAAACTTTGGCTAGCTCCGATGAAACGCGTCACATAACCATTCGTCAATGACAAACGCGTATAGTAATACCGTTTTGTCGCGCAAAACTCGGTTTTGAGAGGAAAAATCGTTACGTCGAGGTCGTGCCGAAAATATAGCATCGCTTACGGACGTTGCAAAAATCGCCGCACGTCTTCGCGGCCGGATGTTCTCGCTTACGCGCGCAGCATTCGAATGGCGACTCGATAGGTCTTTCCCCTGGACTTTCTTTGGCAAGGACGCGCACTCTAAAGCGAGAAAAATGAAAAGAAAGAAAGCGGAAATAGACGGCGAGCATCAGCGTTCTCGAAGCAAAAAACTCGATGAACTTTCTTTTGAGATCTCTCTTGCTTTTGCATGGAAATGTACTTCGACCATGATGTTTCCTTCTCACGAAGAAAATATAGAATTATATTATTGTACAATGTCGTGTGCTGTGACACTTGATTAATAATATATATTTTTCTTCTAATATTAACTTTAAAAATTCTTTATTTTGTTGAAAAACGTGATATCGAAGTATTTACATCGAATCCTTCTAGCCCTAATAATGAAGTTTTCCAGTCTTTTTCAATAATATAAAATATTTTGAAGTGTCTCAGATTTTTGGCATTTTTTCATCCATCTACCATACATTTTTCTATTTTTTGAAGTACATTTTTTGTTAGCACAAGTTCAGATAGATATTGTTTAAAAAAATATCTAAAATATCAGAACTAATATGATCCAAATTGTTCTAATTATTGTAGACCCCGAATTTATTTCTAGATTACATCATTCTTATCATATCTCATTAATAAGTTGGAAATAAACGATTGGAACTTCGATAATAAAATAGCGACCGTTCGACAGCGCGCAGCGGGATTATCTTTTACGATACCGTGCTCGATAGTCTCGCGGCTTCGTCGTTGCGTCCTCGTCATCGGACTAGGACATCGTTACGTTGACATAAGCCGTAACTCGCTGAATTTCATTCTGCTAGATAATATCTGGTCCAAGCTTGCTCATCGGCGCGGCGCAGCGCAAAGTCTCATATCACCAAGTCTCCGCTAGTGACTTTAGTATTTCCGCGAAGACTGAATTTCTGTCATGGAGGAAGTCCTCTAGTCTCGCCAGCGAGAAACCCGGACTGCATAGCTGTACACACATATCCGCTTCATGCTGCCGCAGTTAGGTGCCAGAGCGTATTTGCGCCGGGTGCTTTAGTTCAGTTTGTATGTGTATGTGTCTTTGTATGCATATACGATCCTACCACGAACTGCTGCTCGTCCCCACCTCCGAATTATGCCACTTCCCACTGACTATCGCTATACGTGATTCCCACGGTAACGGCGTCTCTCCCTTCGGTAAGACCATCGAATTTTCCGTACAGCCTTAACGGATAGTCACCGAAATGTCGAAGGGTGGCTCTCGAATTGCCCGTTTGCAATTAATTCAGCGAAATTGGATAGCATTGAACCGGAGAAATATCACAAAGCGCTGCTTGCATTGATCTTACATACATATTATACATCATTAAGGAGGCATAATATAATTTCTCTTGCAATTTGCATAATTGAATGTAATCGGTGATATGAAATTGTATCTCATTATGTTTCTAATGTTAATGAAATGTCAACATTCTTGAGACACCCTGTATATATGAAAATCAAAATTTAATTTTTAATTAATTTGAAATAAACTTTAATTTGATAAAGAATGCATTTACCCTATACATTTATTCTTGTACAGTCTTACTTTGATGAAGCAGACTCAATTTGATGAAAGCATACAGATTAAATGTAATTATTGAACTTGGCACAGATACCAAAAGTTAAATAGAACAGAATGGCGATTCTTTCAGTATTAAAAATTTCAGAATATTAACAATTAAAGATTATCTGACATTGAAAATTAATTCGTTTAACTTTCAATATGTAATAATAAAATAAAAAAAAGCTTTCAATATGTAATAATAATATTTTTATCGATAATAATTAAAATTTTAATAAGATGATGAAAAAGCACACGATAGCAAGATAGCTAGAGAGATAGTACCAAGATATTAAACCGTTTATTACGTTTGAGTGAGAGTTGTGCGAATCTTACAATATTAAAATTATCGCGATCGTGATATAAAGGATTATATTTTAATTCTTCTTTAATTGATGATTATTTAACTCCTGCAATTAGTGATTGTGATATATTAGTTGATTAATCACGCAAATAGTAAATCAGCAATTATTTGTAGAAATAATATAATATTCTGTTCGTCTAAATGTAGAGGGGATACCAGAGGGTACAAAGTAACACGTAAACAAATAGGCGTGAAAATATTTCCAAGAATTTCGACGCTAACTCGTGACGTCAGAGCTGTTTACTTTCGCGCCATACGAGCGCTTTTGTACTCGCGCTATCACCTTGATACTATTCGCACGGCTACATTCCAGTCGAACAGGCGGCAGCGGAACCCGCTCCATAATTCTTACAATTTTATCACATTACGCTTGCGACAAATATTATAAAATGATTTATAAATAATTGCTGATTCAGTAATCGTACGACTTAGCTTTTATGATCAACGACTGAGATATATTATATTTCTCTCTGCCGCCGGTTCCAACGCCGCGACTATTGAATAGGTTATAGCTGTGCTATTTCATGTTTTTTCGAGTTTTTGCTTTGTTGTGCTGTGGCAAAGCTCGCGTCGGAAGAGTGTTTATTATTGGGTAATGCCGTTTGAAACATCACGCGATCGTTGTGTTTTCAGAAAGGAGCAGCCATCGATGGACTACCATCGAGAGGAGGAGGAGGCCCGGGGGGCATCAGGCGTCGGTGGAGCAACGTTAAGGTAATTTATTACTTATTATTTGTTATTTGTTACATTAATTGTAACATTAATCTGTTTCTGCGATGATTGCATAGTATTTTGTATCTTTAAAATTTATGATTATTTCAAATATTCGTAAAAGTATTAAATTATAAAAAAATATTTTTTTAAATTAAATATCTATTTGAAAGACAATTAAGAAATTCAATACGTGCAATAATTGTTGTACTTGTAAAAAAGTATTTTGAATATTATTATAATCTGGAGTTTTTTTTGTATTTTACAGATCAACGTAGCCATCAACTTCACTGCTGCGCATCATATTGGTAAGTCCAGATCAAAATATTATTATTTTAATATCAAAGTAATGATATATTATATTTATATATTAATACAAGATATTGTATGTACACACAGAAGCGTTTAAGAAATTTGTTTGAGAACACCATTGAGATAATTAATCATTTTGTTCTCTCACACATATATACAATTTTACATTATTAATAAAATATAAAATATATAGTAATTAGTTATCGAATGGATAAAATTTTAATTTTTTTAATTGATTAAAATAACAGTTATGTTTAGGCATAGTAATCATGAATGAAATGCACATTAAGTAGTCATGTATATTAAGTAGAAAAAAAAAGACATAAAATGTAGAGACTAATTATAGAAAAAAGTAGTTCAAAGATGCCAGCGTCAATTTAGTACTTCAGGTACTATACTTCAGGTATTATAAAATTTCTTTTAAAAAATCTAGTTTGCTACCACTTGAAACAAATAAATTCAAAAAAAATTTGCCAGAATTTAACAGCTTCGCATGCAAGGAAAATAAAATTCAACTAAAAAGCATCGCAGAGGAGAATATTGCCGTCGAATTGTTGCATTTCTGCTGCTTTCCCCCCCCCCTTCACCCCCCTTTTTCTCTCTCTTTACGAAGCGATAAAGCAAATAAATAGTTTTACATCTAAAATAAAATACGGCATCGTAAAAAAATAGAGAGTGGGGCTCTCCGAATGTTCTCTTTCTGGCGATTGCTAGAATACGTGGTCCTCGTAGTAACGATCGACGCTTCCCTTTGGGAGACTATCGAATTTTCCATAGAGTTCCGCCGAATAAGGGCGAGTCTCGCATGTTTGCCGGAAGTTGCACGAGCTAACCGCTCTGTTCCAGGAACTCCTGGAAAATGGTGCATCCTCATACCACGTTTGCTAGTCTGGACCGAATGTTTATTGCCAACATACTGCTATGTAGGGTAATGCACACAGATTTTTCGTTAGAGAGGGTGTTTAAAGAAAGTGAGTAGTGAAAGATAGAGTAGAGAAGAAAAGGAATTCTCTGTAATGATATATTTGAATTTTATGAGATAGAAATAGCATATCATCGGGTGATCTGATGCGACTTACATTATACTGAACTGGAAGAAAACAAAAATTGCAATCCAATTATAACTTAACTACAAAATGTTTTGAATATTTTAGACTTTTAACACATTGATCTAATTTAAAATCAATTTTTTAATAAGAATTTAATTAGACATTAAATTATTTCTTGGCTTTATTTAAGGTTAAATTTAAAATTAAAAAAAGATTTAGTTTAAATAAAAATTATATGAAAATAATTGTAGAAAAGTCATTATATATACTTGAAAACATCATAGAATGTATCAATCTTTCTTTTTTATGATTTTTGATAAATTTGTTAAAGGAAATTTGAGAAATTTGTTTTTTATAGAGATTTATGTTATGTATAAATTTCGTTAACATGCGACGTTGCCAAATACTGATTTTTCAGTATTTGAAAAATGCAATTTATTTTCAGTGAGTCATAAATCGTTAATATAAAATAATTTTTGGACCACAGAGAGGAGAGAGGCGAAAAAAAGCGTCATAGACGGATTCACTTTCATAGTTTATGAGAAAAAACTCTAAAGCTTTTCAAGCTTTTATTGAATGACAAAGTTTCTTAAGATTTATGGGAAACATTGTGTTCACCGTTATTTCATAATTTACAATGAATGAAATATTCATGTACCTTGAATACAATTCGTGAGCAATTGATAACTCACTCATCCTTGTAGAGATTTGTACTATTGGAAGCTTTATCTCTCACGTTATAAGCACAAAATCATTTTACAGAGAAAAATTGTTAACCACTCAAATTTGTCTTACTCTTCGAGCCTTACATATTCAACATTGAAATTTCTCATGCATTAAATATTAAACGAAATATAATATAACGAGAAAACGAGAAAATACAAAGAATATTAAAGTTAAATATGCAAAGCTTAAAAAATTGGAGTGCTTTATGATCCTGAAAATATTTTCTTCATGAAGGATCTCTTAAGAGCACTTCAGTTAATTGAACAAGACACAAAAGAAATAATATTTTAAAATGTCTTTACGAACTTGCAATTCTTTTCCATTTCTCTTTAAAATGATTTTCAACCATTGTTTCACGTGTGACGGGTAGCTTCTTTTATACTTTTTCCAGCGAAATAAATTATGTCGCACGTTTTATACGTGATTTTCCATTGTGGTAATTTGTGAGTATTTTACGCTCTAGATATATTGAGATTCACGCACGAGGTATTAAAATCTCATCCAATACATATTAAACTGACAAACGGTTAGTCATAATGAATCGCCGATGACCGTGATTTATTTCAGTGTTCCGAAAATCAAATTTGTAGAGAGAGGAACAATAGATTAAATATACTACACTTGAAAACTTGGCAATTTTAATAACATCATAGGATCAATGTACATAAAATAATTACACATGAAAGTGCAACGAAAGTTGAGAGAATTAAACAAATTTCTCTGTACTGTAAAACGAATCCCGTATATACAAAGAATAAAATTTAGGGTTTTTATATTATGTGCATTGAATCGTGAAAGTGTTATATATATTTTTTAAACCAATAAGATAAATATTTTTTTATTCCAATTTTATTGAAACAAAAGGTATATTTTTGAAATATATTTCGTGAGTGTACACAGCATGATAGCCGTACGACCTATCATTGCTCGAATATGTCATGTCTCAGCAAAATGACTATAACATCGAAACTGTCGTCTCCGTCCGCTCTTCTCCGGTCTGTATGACGCATCTCAAGCCAATGTCCTGGCTATCATCCAATAATAAATATCCAATAATCTAGAAGTGGTTGAGCTCTTTGTGGCGATGGGGACTGTCACAAATTTCTTTCATACTCTCTCGAAGAGATACGCCGAGTAATAACCGTCAGATACAATAATTCTCGCGTTTGCCAATATGATAATACTCATGTTCGCGTCGGGACAATCGCGGAAAGTCACTGAACGCGATAATTATCGAGTTGTATTTGTGATCGCGACGGGAATTTATTTATCTTTGCGGTCGCATTGCCGATACTTCTCAGATACACCTTATCCGGTCAGCGTGATTCGCCATCTTACCGGACGATTCGAACTAGAATACGATTGAACACGCACGGCTGAATATCGTTTATTCAGGATGAGTACGCACACATGTACACGTACCATTCGCTAACACACGTTCGCGTTTCTACACAAGATCATTCCGTTCTCGCAATGATTCATAGAGGTCGAAGCGCAAGACGACGCGTCACGTTGGTCGGTCAGCAAGTACAATGGCCAGCGGTGCGGTGGCGGTCGGAGGTTTGGCGGATGGGAGGGGGGAAACGAGGAGATGATCGGTTGCGAGAAGAAACTAACTAGCCCGCAGCCAGGGTAAATCCTGTTCTCTCTGTTTGCCGACGATTCTCGATAGATACGAATGAAGGTGAATGCGTCTATCAGCACGGTTTCACCCAAGTCGGGACGAACTTTAGTTTAATTGCTTTTTCCGCCGAGATTATTCTAGGTAGTTTCTCTTGTATTGCTTGCCGTTATCGGAAGATCGGAAGTTTATTTAAGCTGCAATGTGTACTCTTTTAACAAGTTCACCGATTAATTGTACTGCAGATTAGTTTTATCCGTGGAAAGTTTAACATGATGGAATACATTTTTTTAGAATATAAAATTTTTTATATAGTATATGGTATATATTATCTAACTTTTCGGTTTATCAGAATGATCAGAGCAGTTTATCCATGAAACAGTTATTCGCGCATGGAAGCCCTTATGCTAAGACTTTCGACTCAACCGCGGATTAAATTTAGCCACCGTGAATTCCAGGAACTTCGTTTAAAGTTTAACCCCGCTTAATACTGGGCTTTACCTATCTTAATCGTTATCTACATTTAAATTCCCGATTTCAAGCGCTTTGCGCAGCCTCGCTGGGAAATGTTGCTTGAAAGAGACATTAAGTAGTAGCGATAGTGGACATTAATAGTGAAAAATTCAATAATCAAGAATTATTTAAATGAACTTGTCGATTGTCATTATATCGATGGTTTAAGCAGGGACTGCGTGTCAATTTTATTTCTCTTAGCATCGTTCACCTGCCGTCTTCTTTTTCATTATTAAAATGGAACGAGAGACGATGATTTGAAATAAGAAATTCAATGCGAATTGAATAGAGAACGGAGAATATGTACGTTGATTTATCATTATGATAATGAATCTTGTGACTTTAATTTTCGTGATTTCAAATCTTCTCTCGAAAGGCTATATATTATATGTCTTGCGCAAAACTTGCTGTCTCGTAAGATATACGTCTACGTATGGTCAAATTAATCAAGCGATGGTCTTATCCGACGACGACGGACCAATCTCAGCGGCATTAATTGGTGGACAGGTGGACTATTCTGAGGACGGTCGTTAATGTCGCCCCGCGTTCAAGGACAAGCCCGCCTCGCTCGACCGCAATTAATGGCCTCTGATGTAACGCGGTGGCGCTTCCGGTCTTAGAGTATTTCGCTGCTCGACGAAATACGGAGACGACAGGTCAGCCTCAGCCTGGACCTGATTTACGCGTGATCGCATTAAACGGTTCTTTGATGGCCCCCTTACCTCCTGAGTGGTTGATAACTTGATTTGCTGTCCCACTTTGGAACTCAGCCACGACTCTTCTACCATGCCCACCCTTCCCCCTTATGTCATGCGGAAACGTTTCCGCTACTTCGAGTTAGAAGCGATGGTTTCTTTTTTCCTTGACTATCATCGCTTGTTCTCTTTTTTTTCCGTCCCTCTTTCTCTCTTTCCGCACTCCATGCGATTCAATAGTTCATCCGGAATAAATACGTCAGCAACAGGAATAAGAAATTTGCATTAAATAAATAATTTACTACTGCTTTGCATTTCAAACGGTGTTATTAGATATGAAAATTATTTTCGTATAAAATATAACATTAAATTTTTCCTCGGAAATTTACTTA